TGACCCTGAAGGGCCGCTGCCGCCACCCCCGCCTCTGCCTCCTCAGTCACCTCGTCTGAACCAGAACTCGGGGAGACCAGGCAAGGGGACCCACAAGCCTGGCGCCCCCACTGCCGCCTTTCCGAGCGGCTGCAGTGCGGTCAGTTCCCCGCTGTGGCCAGAAGGTGGCGGTGCGCTGCTACCCACCTGGGGGCACCCCGATCTGCAGTCCCTGTTTCAGGGACTTACCAGCCAGGTCCGCAGGCTGACCCGCAGAACCCAAATCACAACCCACAGAACCACAGAACCCAAATCACAACCCACAGAACCGCAGAACCCAAATCACAACCAAGAAACGCTTTCCCTTCACACACGACGTCCCCGCCTTCGATCCGGAGAGCGTTGGGAACTGGGTAACCGTCCTTCCTAAGACCCACCCTAGCCCTGCCGGCTGCTCAGTGGCTCGAGTGTCGGCCTGCGGACCCTCTCCCCATCACTACTGCAGGTCTTTATTCTGTTCACCTGGACCCCTGCCATGTCTTCCAAAAGTTCTGCACAGGCCTGGGTGGCAGGCGTCTCCCCGGCCCAGGCCCTGGTGGGGGCTCGTGCAGGAGGCAACCCATCGATGTTTCTGTGTCTTTCCCTCTCCCTTCCACTCTCTCAAAAAAACCGATGGAAAATATCCTCGGGTGAGGATTAAAAAAAGACAGAACACTTTAAAGGGAGAGACCAGGCAGCCGGGGCCTGGGCCATGGGCGGAGCGGGGAGCAGGGGGAGAGCCTTGCGTCCCAAGGGCCCTGGCTGGCACAGCCGGCCTTTAGGGCCGCAGGCCGGCGCCCTACCCACTGGGCCACACCGGCCAGGGCTTCGCGACTCCTTATGTTCAGGACTCTCACGCGGCTGAGATGCAGCAGAACTTTCTTTTTTTAAAAAAAATATATTTTATTGATTTTTTACAGAGAGGAAGGGAGAGAGATAGTCAGAAACATCAATGAGAGAGAAACATCCATCAGCCGCCTCCTGCACATCCCCCACTGGGGAAGTGCCTGCAACCCAGGTACATGCCCTTGACCGGAATCGAACCCGGGACCTTTCAGTCCGCAGGCTGACGCTCTATCCACTGAGCCAA